CTAAAAATTCAATAGTTGAAACACAATGTCATTAATGAGTATTGTATAACATACACATACATTAATAGTACAATAAATTTAAATAAGGACTAGTATACAGTGATATAAAAATTATGTATATCTAAAATAAGTAACTAAAAACTAGAACACAAGCTGACAATCTTGTCTTCTTTAAATTGTAAAGTAAGACAGTTTCTCGCATCTTAAAAAGATTTATAACTAAAATATTCCTGTTATCCATTTCCCAAAATTTATTTAACAAATTTCATTCAAATAAATACAGCTCCTACAGGATGGCAAAAGATCATGTTATCATACAGTTACAATTATGGAAGATCAAAATTATAACTAAATAATCAAGGTATAATCTTAAATGTTCTGTTATTTATCTGAACATCAGGCTTCAAAGTATTAACCAAAATTCTCAATCTATATAAATATAATTCCCCTTACTTGTGTAACATTTAACACTTCACATATACATTTGAGATAATGCACATCTTTGCCTACCCTATAGAAAAAACGAAAACATAGAGTAAATTCTGTGTCCTAGTCACTGTTTTCAACTCTTACGAGTTCCATAGATTTGAAAAAATTTGTGTAATAAAACAAGCCAACTTCAGGCAATTAAAAGTAGTATAATACTTGTTCCAATTATTAACTCGAACTTTTCTTCTGATATGTGACACATTCTATATCCAAGGGTTTGTGAATCTACTTCTCAACCTGTATCTGGATCTGCTTGAATTTGAAATAAAAGAACAAGAACTAGAGAGTTGTGCCCAGAATATATAAAATGTAACTTTTCTGTTTCCCATTTACTACCACAGAACTGATAAAGAAAATGTAATATATTAGGAAATTTATTCCAAACTCTTGTCAATAAGTCTAGCGGTCATGGTTGTTATGCACTGATCAAATGTTCTCGTAGAATTTTTGGATTCAATTTGAATCTTCATTCCCAGTTCTTTTGTTTCTGTATTACATGGTAGCATCTTCTTTGAAGCTTTAGCTACTGCTATTTCCATTCTCTGGTGGAAAAGGAAGGAGGAACTTGTCACCCAAGGACTGAAGCAGATCCTGTTTCTGATACAATCTGTTCTGTTTGGAATACTTGATGAAAAAGTTAAAAAAACTCAGTAATACTAAGACCCACTCACAGTCAGAAATCATGCAAAACTGTTGCTTTCATATTCTTGAACCACAACTCTATTTCAAAGGACTACCTGAATCACAACCAGTTTTGGATTTATACTTTGAATAGAAAATTACATTTTGTGAAGGATTTCACAATGAAACATACAACTTTAAAAATTCATACATGAATTAATCTTGTAATTCATCACAAAATTCCATGATTCTACAAGAAACAGCTCAAGATAGGTTGACATCTACATGTCTGTAATACTTATATACTTTCAAAATTTAATGACCAAACTGAACAGTACCTGATTTCCCCAGTCTTGGTAGCAAAGAAGGACTTGCTTGAATTGTGTTTATCAACTCTGATAAATATTTGAAGTAGAGCTCTGAAGTCAAGAATGGTTGCAGAAAATTCTGTCAAACGAAGCAAAGAACATTATGAGAAGCATACCCAACATGTTTCCAAATTCTATTAATATATAATCAATATAACAATGACAGTAATTCACACATACTAAGCTGAAGCTTTAACAAACTACTGGCTTCAAAAAAATATCATCACAAATGAAAAATATTCTGCTTTTGTTCATTACTGCAGTCATACTGCTGGAACAGCTACCTTTTCAAGTACATGAAACACAATATCTGCAGGTTTCCTGAAGCAGTCAGGTAATGGACCTTCTTCACGGCAGATATTATGCTCTACATAAAAGCGTATTTTATCACTGTAGCCTAATGGACAAGTTGCTTGAAGAGAAAAATATCTGCAACAGAACAGAGTGGACTTCTTAACAATACTAAATGATAAATAGCAAGTCAAGATGAAACAAGTAATAAAGGGCATCTGAGAAAGAAGGAGTGCATTTTTGCATTTCAAAAAATATTTTAATTATGTATGACGTCTTTTGGCTGGTCGTGGCAGCCGAGCGATCTAAGGCATGCACTGTCTTCGCTCGCTTGGAAGCCGGGATCGTGGGTTCGAATCCTACTCAGGGCATGCATGTTTGTGTGCGTTTTTCTGTGTTTGTCTACAGGTAGAGGCCTTGCAATGAGCTGATCACTCACCCAAGGAGTCCAACCATATGTGTAAGATCTAGAAAAACTGAAGTGAACAGAGTTCATGGAGGTAGGCCTAGGCCCACTGGGGCTGCAGTGCCAAGGAAAAAAATGACGTCTTTTGACATGATATTTAATGTTGCTTTCAGTATCAAGGCTATAGCATCAGATGGTAAAAAAAAAAGTAAAGCTATCCCTGTAACAATTCATGAGAACCCACAGGGTTGTGAAACGCTGAGGCTCCCACATTTTCTAGACAATCGGCTCATGGATGGTGGTGTACAAACATATAGTGTCAACTGGAAAGGATTTGGAAGGATACGGTTGTGGCCTAATCAAGGTACTATCCCAGCATTTTCCTTGAAGGACTGAGAAAAACCATGAAAAACCTCAGTCAAGATAGCTGCTGCCTCAACGAAGATTCAAACTGAGTGCCATTCTAACAATATTGTACAGTGTTACCTCTACAGCAACCCATTCAGTTCTTCTAATTACAACAGAACACATTTCATAATATGAAAACATACCGAATGCTATGACTGAATGATCACCATTACTGCTTCATGTTCAAGAGGTCCCAGATTCAAATCTCGACACAGAGACCAGCAATCCTGACTGAAACTTTCATGTTTATCCTTAGAGCTCCCAAAGAAAGGCCGGAATAGTATCTCAAATTAAGCCATGAGCTTTTCCTTTCTTATCATTTTCAACTCATTACTCACTATTTATCCTATGATTCGATGATATATAATCTTAGTTACTACAGGATTCTGATGGTGGTGTATAACACATAGAGATACTGGGTTTTCGGACTTTATCCATCATCCTGGTTTTAAGATAACTAAGAAAAACACGATGTTTCGGAAACTGGATCTGTTTCCGAAACGTAGCGTTTATCTTAGTTATCTTAAAACCAGGACGATGGATAAAGTCCGAAAACCCAATATCTCTAAGATATACAATCTTAGCAATTCGGATTAATGTTAATAAACCACAGAGAACAAACAAGCAAGAAAACAGGAATATTTCTGTTTCACAGATGGAGCTAGTGGTGGATGGGAATTTTATAACATGAAAACTTTCAATTTTTCTTTTGCATAGGTGTTCCTGGATTTGATTGTTGGTTTTGTTTGATGCACTGATTTTCCATTTTCTTTCTTATATTAATTTCAGGTCATTATATGCTTTACCATAATTTTTACTGTAACTGTTCCTGTTATCACCTGCTGACAAAACCTGATTTGAGGTACATATATGGTTGTAGCAACTGACACTGGATGACTAGTCATTAAGGTCAGATCTTTCTAAGGAACCCAACTTGAGTAGGAGTTTCCCACCTTTTCACCTGAAGGTGAAAACAAGTCCAGTTTAAAAGGTTGTGTTTATTACAATACCTGACAATGGGCAAAGTCCAAAAACTAGTAATCATAACTGGACTCCCAGCTTTAGGTATATGTGAAACAGAAGACCCTACCAGGAGTGAGCATTTACTTCAGAAATGCACTCCTTCAGGAAACCACAGTACTTTAAGGCCATATCTAGAAATACATGCCACCAAAAAGTGGAGGGAGAGAGAGGGGGAGACAGATATTCATCACAATAATTTTCTAAATTTTTATTAAAGGGAGTTATCTGAAGGAATCAACTGCAACAATATTTCCCTGCTTCACATGTGAAAACTCCAATGCTGTTGGATATTTTGTACTACCCTACAACTGAAAACCTTAAACTCACTTATCATAGAGGACTATTGCATCATTCTGAGCCTCTACTGGATCATAGTCTCCCTTCTTGTCTATTAGGTGCTGTTCAAAGTTCACTGTTGCCAACCAAAACTCTACCAGGCTCTGATTTCCTTCTTGTTCCATGTACTGAGTAACACACAGAAATTCACATTAGAGAAGCAAGAAAGATAATAAATCATTGTTAACACAAAATACAAACCAACAACAATAATTCTGAAACTGGTATCCACAAATCATATTAATATTTTTACAAAATTAAAAAAAAAATTCATATACTTTGACAGCAAATAAGAACTTATACAGGTTACTTTTCATCAAACGCTTCACATTGTAAGCTTGCTAAATATAACATCAACTTTATGTGCCATTACTATATTTTTACTTGCTAACACGTGAAAAATGTTTTATACAAAGTCTGTAGGTATGTTAATAACCTATCTCTATACTAAATTTTACACACCTGTCTCCAATTATTCTTATCATAAAATCATCAAGCCCAAAGCTATATGCAGATTACATTATAAAAAATTAATTTGACCAATGTTGCAAGTATTTAAAAAACTATTACCACACAAAACTTTCAGTATACTACATGGACTGGTGTTAGCATCTCTTTTACCTCAGAAGTCTTCATGGCTCCATGGAGTTAATAATGACAGGAAATTATAAATCACAAAGATGATATGGTGTCATGATACCGATACAAAGTTTTACAAAAATCCACTGATTGGCTTAGAAGTCACTGGGAATAAGGAAATGAATGACAATACCAGTAGCCTGTCTTTCCATATAAAAACAAGGAACACCTTAATTCATCTAACAAAATATAAACAAGAGAAGACTGCAAAAGCAGAACAGTTTTATCAAAAACATAATCAGTCAATTATGGACTTCTTCAAACATTAGTTGTCATTTGCATACCAAAGGAAAATCAATGTTTCATTATAGTAACATATACAGAACATACTCCTAAATCAAATTCTTCAAACATCAGTCTCCTGGGATGGTTAGGATTATATACAGTTCCATCCTGGTTCTTGTCCAGTTTTTTCTAAAATCATCCCAAGACATCTTCAACTTTCTTTCACAATATCAACACTGCTGCATTTATTAAATCACAAGTAACACAATGATTCTTAGCGGCCTCCGTAGTCTAGGGGTAACGTTCCCACCTCATGACTCAAGGTACGTGGGTTCAAACCTGGAGGAGGTCGTGGAATTTTTAAGGACGGAAAAATTCAGGGAACGAGTCCTCTGGGAGGTACTTTAAGCCGTGGGTCCCGTGTCGTAGATTTACGGCACGTAAAAGATCCTCATGTCTCTA